ACAGCACAACAGCAGAATTTATTCCCTCATCCAAATTCAGCACGTCCGAATAGATAGCCCATATCAGTAAATTTGGGTGAGCAACGTGAATTACGGGACTGTAAAATGAATTTAAGCGTGGTACGTGTGGCAAGCACATGTCGATAAATCACTACGCCTAAGTTCGATCGTGACGCGCGCGAAATTGATACCGAACTCGTAAACCTATTTCCGCTTTTTGCGCTTTTTCCATGAAAATACTTCGCTCGTAAACCGCGCGATTATAAATAGTTTACTATTTCAATGGCAATAATTAACGATCAACCAAAGTACGATGGAAAGAGCGATTTTCATCGAACGATCAACGCCGTGAAAATGTCAAAGGCAACATGCAGCAGAGAAATATTTATTTCTCTGACGATCACCTCATTAATCGGATTTGCATGAGTAGCAATCAGGCGTCAATTAATAGCTGAATTATGCGGCATTCCTGCACGCCGTTAGAATTTACCTATATTATACACCGATCTCGCGTTATCCACCACCGATACAAGCCTTATAGTCTTTATGTAGCACGCCACCCACACGCGTGGTCATTATCGGCGCGCGAACGCGACGCGATCCAACATTTTACGGTGCATACACGTCGACAGATGGGAATGTTGGCGCCATTCTCGCGGCATTATGCCTGCACACGTACAGTGGCTCAGGAAAGTATTCCAACAGTTATAGAATCTTTTTATACATATATAATGTACTATACAAAATATCGTGAAATTTGTTTAGGACTAACGTGACTATGAATCTCGTGATTATATTGGTCAAGTCTGAACCGAATCTGAAAATGAATACATATAAAAGTTACAAAATACTTACGAGCATACACGAACAAAAGTTAACAAAGTATTTGAACAGTAAATTATTGATTGATTGACTAGTAAATCATAATACTTAGTAAGAACATTTGTAGCATATTTCTTTTTTACAAATTGAAATAGAATTTTACAAGATAAGTTAGTCGATATTTTTGTTCATTACTGTACATTCCTACATACCATGGCTGATAATGGCGAAGTAAAATTTCTAAAATCTTGTCTGCAATTTGACAACCATACGTAATCGCAATCTCCATTACGATCTCGTCGTGAAAGTCTATGGTGCATTAGATATCATTGTATTTTTTCTTAAAAGAGACGGGTTCTAGTAGAAAGTAAACATTCTGTATGAAATTTTGGCATCATTATAATAAACTTTGAGAAAATATTCAGAAGTATGAAGTTTGCAATGGACAATTATTACTTTACATTTGGTACCAATATCTGTAATAAAATACTTTTTAAAATACTTAAGATCATATATTCAATTAATCAATTCTAATAAAAATATTTTTTTACCGAAGTAATGTATTATTTATCATAAAGATTTTATTCTACAAAATTATTCGAAGAAAGATTCATTTGACAAACTCCCACCAAGTACAAAACTCGAAAAACCATCCCCTTTGGAATCTTGCCTGGCGGCGCAACAACAATCTAGCCACGACTTGGAATAATATTTTGCCAATGTCCGAGGAAATTGATAACCTGGTGCCTCATCGAAGGAAAAACACAGACGGCCGTGTAAACTCAAACAGTTTATCGTACGGTGGATAGAGGGCCCGTGAGTTTTCAGGAGCCACATTTTTGGCAACGTCATGAAAGCGAGGAGAAGATGGCGCGTTGATCGTGAATGCGTTTCAACCGCGCGCCACAAGGAAAAAGTCTTGCCAAGCATATCTTGACAATGAAATGCATTACGCTCGAAGTTTTTATGCTCAAAGGTCGACTAAATTTCAACACGATCTAAATATAAGACGCCATCAACAACAACGATCGCACGCGCCGATAGACTTTTACATTCGATGCTAGTAAATCTGGTTTTCATCGTTTCCCCTTAGACTCAATACACACGAGCAATTCAACACCGCAGCATTTGAAAATTATAGGAGAAAAACATGATAAGTATAAGTATAGAAGTAAGAATTTTTACATAATTGAAAATCGAAACAACCTCTGAGGATCAAAGATCTTTCAAAAGTAGTTAATACTAGAAGGAATGAAGAAACAGTTAAGCTCCAAAACCAAATATGCATATTGACAATTTTGATAATATGGGATTTCCCTATAAAAAATTGTAAATGTGATTTATCATATTCTTTCCCCGTAGTTTGTATATACTGAGACGTTTCGTGCTATACTCTCTTTAAATTTCATGTTAAAATATTTGAGAATTGTTTCGCGGTAATATCACAAAGTGTCAAGCGACGCGCGCCGTAGCTCACGTTTCTATTAACACCTATGGCATGATGTTTTATCATGCTCTACACAAACCTATGAGTAACGTGGAAAAAACGTTTAGTTATTTAAAATTAGCATATACCCGATGGAATCTCAATTTCTGCTCGTAAAGAAAAATTTACTGAAGAAAGAGAAATTGATTAAAAAGATTCATATCCTGTCCTACATCTCTGATGCATTACGCGTACGTACACGTGATAACCTCGAAGTTGTAACGATAGCGTTGAACGTACGTACATAGTGAACAATTACCATTTACCGAAGGATTTTCGCTTACCTTGCTGTCCGTAATCGACGAACTTTTCACTTGCTATTTGTTATTCGGCGATCAACGATATATGTGGTGATTGTTGATATACGTGAAGAAGTGAGTGCGCGCGCGCGCGCGCGCGATCCGAAAGGCCGCGATGACGAGTTACGAACGCTTGGTTATTGCCGACGAGAAGCCTGGCGCCGTCTGCGAGTCGTATGTATCACAAACAGCTTCGTCTGACATTCAATACTCGTGATCGTTACTCTGCAGGTTGTTAATAATTCTAAAAATATAAAGGAACACCGGCTTCACGCTATTTCACAAATCATATCTACGTCTACATTCCAAGCGTAGTGCACGGTTACCATAAACGTAAAAGATAGGAAGTTACATACATAATAGATACTAAGATCAGTGACCCCAATTTGATCGATAACGCCATCTTTTTTTCCTAATCGTAGTTTCTGATCAAATAAAAACCAAAAGGCATACTGGAATGATTGTCGCCATATATCGATTTAAGTGTGGTATTGGTTGATCATGATGTTGATGATGAATTTTATAGTATAATTTTCTTTCATTTTTACTCGTAGGATATGCTGGCATCGTCGGAAAAGGTAGAGACATCCTGTATGTTAATTAATCACCATTTTAATTTTAAAACGAAGTTAAAGAATAGTATTATATTATACTTTTATCGTGTAAAAATAATTTATGTAGGATTTTTAAGCTTTGTTTTCTTTCAGTATCTTTATATGAAATTTGAATAAATTTTCCTGCAGAAGATCTACTTTCCACTAACTTTCACCTTGTATCGTTGATATAAACGTTTCATAAAAATATTCAATTGCCATTGTAGATCGTGAATTCTAACCAATATGGATATACATTCGATTACACGTATTTCCTGTTCACTCTGAACATATCATCTATCTAAAGATCATTCCTTGAGTATATCGATATCACTTACATATATTATCTGTTCTTAAAACGTATCAATGGAAGGCGAAAAACTGATTCAATAAATTCGTATAAACGTTGTAATTGTAAGTGAGATGCTTTATTATCATATGAGTTTCAACTAAGAAACTTGATATATAAGTAAAAATAAGTGAATTTCGAACTTTAAAATGATTCATGAAAATTGAATTTTCCTTCAAGGTTGAAATGGTTTTATTTTCGTTTATTTACCAAACAAAGACTTAATGAAACCGGATTCACTCACACTCGTGCACATAATGTACATTTGAAGCTAAAAATGACAATGCACCGTATTGAGTACTTACTCATACACCGAAGATTACGCGCGCGAGAATGTCATGACACTAAGGTCATGCATATAGGAGCGATGTCATGAATGCAACTTATAAGTATTTAACCCATTTATCGTTGTTACGATGATAACACACATATATATTTATATATATAATACGTAAGTTTTTTAAATATTGGTTTTTAATTAATCTGGTCGGTAACTAAAATAACGTATCGTGATAGAATGTCAAGCAAATTAATACACGCTAAAATAAGTAAAAAAACAAAGAAACATTCATCTGTTTACAGTGCTATAGAGTTCTATGCATACATTCATAATTAATGAATTAAACACAAAATACGCAGCGGTCTAGTGTATAATTTCTTCTACGGTTGTTTGTGTTTTTTTTCAATTACATTATTTCTGTATTAATGAAGATGAATGAACGTACTGAAAAAAACAATGATTTATGATGAAAGCATATCTTATTGCATAATGAGTCGATCGTCTGTATCGGTAAAAAATCGGTATGATACATTTTAAATATTACGTCCTTTATTTTTGTTCTGACAGAGTTGGAGCTGATACTCGTTATCAGGCATGGACCTATCCTCATTAAAATTCCTTTTATCTTTAGTCGTTAAATATACACACGTTATTAAAGGTCGAAAAAATTTGCCATACGTAAGTATACTACTATATACTAAAAAAATATAATTTTTTTTTTGAAAAAAAATTAAAATAAAAGTCTAGGAAACTTGTAATTTATCCATAATTAATGTATAATTAGTCGATCAAGAAAAAGAAAAGAAGAAGGAAGAGAACTTAAGTTGCTAAATGAAACATGCGGTATAGGCGGTGTGCAGTCTTTAGTAATTAAAAGGGAAAAGTAATCGTGCTTGTCTAACTGAAGTACCATCATCTGAATAAAGGGGATGCATGCAAGGCTGAGCATGAAGCGACGAGGATAGAGATGTGTTTGTTTTCGTCCAATGTAAATAATAATAATAGTTTCTATGTCATCAGCGTCCACATATGTGCGGAAATTCCTTTATCCTTGTCATTCCTTGCACAATATGCATGCACCCCGAAAAGTAGGACTTTCTATCAATTCTATTTGATAAACCAGCCAGAACAAAAACAAACTATTTTAACGGCAAATAACATATAGACTACATAAAGCACAATTACAGTATATTTCACAAATTGTTTAAACATTCATATATAATTATACGAATCTTCGCATATGACGGAAAGGCGATTTGATCAATTAGGGGAAGATTATTTTGTAAAAACAATATATTTTTAAGGACAGGAAAACATTAGGAGATTGAAGGACTTTGCGAAAATGGCTTCATCTGGCAGACTGCCATGCCAGTTTGCACTGCTGGCTTAGAAATTGCGAGGCCTATCTCTCTTTGCTGCGAGAGGTTCTTTCCTAATCATTTTTTTTTACCTTTTTTTTACTTTACTCCACATTTTTTCATCTCATATTTTTTCCCATTCGAATTTTTTATATCTGCATTTCCCGCCACGATCGATGCATAATTTCGGAATGTTGACAATATTCTAATTTACCTTATCAAGGTGCAATAAATAAATGATATCTCTTTTACACTGAGATATACATGGTTGACTGACTGTTAGTTTTAATCGCGAGCAGGTGAAGGAGGGTGCAATTACAACACCTGCTGATAGTCACATGCAGTAAGACAACCATTCTGCATAGTTTTGTATTGTTTTTTTTACTTTTCTTTTGTCGACGTATACCACTGAAAACTTAAAAAAATAGAAACAAACTTTTGTAACTAGAAACAGTAAGTCATTGCACCGTCAGTTACCACTCACTGCATTTTTTCATGTCAACTGATGGGCCGATGTGACATTTGTAATGTAGTGGACAGAGCAACATTCTCTCATCTATTGATCACATTTTTATCATCGTATTTATATAATGTAATGTACAATATGCAGCTACATTATGATAATCAGTATGTCCAACGCATTCAAACTGACAACACCGTGGGTACTTCACTTTTTTGTTCTTAAGTTTTTTTTCCAAAGATATTCAAATTATTAATTAATCAAAGTGTATTGTATGTTTCAGAGTTAGGTACTTTAATACAATTACTTCCAAGTTTTCCACTTTTCTTGTGGTATCTCTGTGTAAAAAGTGTAACTATAATGCTAATATAATAATAATTATAATAATAAGTTGCACAAGGCAATAGTCTTGTGTGGCCGTTAGAATGTGTGCTTCCGGCCGATTTCCCCACTCCCCTCCCCCCAAAAAACTTCCTGGCACAATGACAACTTTCGACAATCTCCACCCTCCACTTCGAGATCAAGAAGATCTCGCGGTTTGCACTTAGTGTTACCTCTGTTTATATTATTATTCTTTCATGGGGGGGATAGGTGTGCAGCTGATTTTATGATGTTAATATAGCAACTGAATGTTGACAGAATAATGTTCCAATTAGCGATTGGCATTTTTGAGCTGATTAGAGAGCCAATCGAGGCCCTCGTAAAGTCCGTCTCCACTTGTGGCGCACGTTGCTTGAATGTACCAATTGCGATTACGGAGAGAGTGGAGTCCCAACTTGTCGGTAATCTCTGCTGCATTCATTGCATTTGGGAGATCCTAAAATATTAATTAGTTTATAAGTACAACCTAAAATACATAAATTATTCGTTTTATTTATTCTTTTTTAATTCCATTGATAAAGTCTATGCATTTGACATGAGTAATATATAATGTTTACATAACAAACGTTATATGCTATCAAAATACTCTATGCTCTCATATAACACAATGAAAGAGATACAACTCTGAGCATACTAGTAATTCAGGAACTATACTCACTTGTTTGTTAGCAAATATAAGAAGTACCGCATCTCTAAGTTCATCTTCTGCCAACATTCTCATCAATTCTTCACGCGCTTCACCGATACGTTCCCTATCATTACTGTCAACGACGAATATTAACCCCTGAAAATAAATTTAATCTATGAAAATAATTTTATTAGAGGTAAAGCATATTTTAAGTAAAATGTAAAATAAACTATTATGTCTGTATAGATAATAATTTTTTACTCATAGAGATACAATTTAATCGTTTTCAAGATGAGAATTTAATTAATAAATTGCATACTTGTGTATTTTGAAAGTAATGTCGCCAGAGAGGTCTGATTTTGTCCTGACCACCAACGTCCCATACAGTAAAACTTATATTCTTGTATTCAACTGTTTCTACATTGAAGCCTAAAATTTACGATATTTATTTAGTAAACTATATCACTTGATACATAATATCATTTCCTGTATGTATTGACATTTATATATATATATATATATATATATATATATATATCGATATTTAAATAAAAGACAAATAAAAACAGAACCATATTTACCTATAGTGGGAATTGTAGTAACAATTTCCCCTAACTTTAATTTGTATAATATCGTGGTTTTACCCGCTGCATCGAGGCCTACCATTAAAATCCTCATTTCTTTTTTGCCAAAAAGGCCTTTAAATAATGTTGCAAACATATTCCCCATGATTAATGCTGATTATGTAAATACCTAGAATAATAAAACACTAGATTAATGTCCCATTTTATCATATACACAAAATAAAATTTTAAAAAATCGTAGATCGAGAAACTAGAGAAAAAACTAGATTAAATAAACTGAAGTTTTATTTGATACATATTACATAAAGCAAATCACATAAACAATCTAATTTTATTATATCACAATGAATTCTTTATTCTTCATTCTTTCATAACACTAAACAATATTTACATATGTATATACAAAATGTATCTATATCTTATTCAAAGATGTGCATAAACATATGAATGCTTAATCAAAAAATGATTAACATGGGTAAGAGCATCATTTTCCACAACATGTAATAATGAAAGTAGGACATTATCAAAACATAATTATCACGAAATTGATTTTTAAAATTAGTCGGAAAAGATATATGCCCGACATATGCAAGAACACAATGTACATACGATCAACGTGCAATAATATATATCGGGCTTAAAATTGTTTCGAAATAAATAACTTTCACAAAACGAAATCGATCGAAATAATGAAAAAATTCGAAACGCGTGTACGCGAGTACACAAAAGACACGTTTCGTGGCTGAAAAATAATATGAAAAATTATGTACGTAGACGGCGGTGATAAGAGTAGAAACATGCGTAAAGTGCTCCAATACGCTGACACAAAGGCCGAAAAGCTAACCTGCACATTTACAGGCTAACACGCTTAACAGTAATCAACGAATATTTCGAACAACGTTAAATTATAGACTTTAATTAAATTGAACTGAAATAAAGAAAAAGAAAAAAAATATTATGTGTAGAAGCACGCACGAGATGCTCACGCTGCCCGCTTATTGATTCTCATTTTAATACATCGCTATGATTATCGGAGTAGCATACCGTGTTAAGGATCACTCTTAGAGCGTTTCACACTGGTGATCTTATTCACTTTTTTAAAATCGTCAACAGGCTACCTAAAACGCCAATACCGTGGTATTGCGACAAAGGCGGAAGATATTGTGCGGTTTGCGAAGCCACTGCGTACACCCGGTTGTCTGTCACCTTCGACCTACTCCCCAGCGCAAATCGTCGAAAGGTTCCCCGCTCAAAGTTCCATTATATAGAAACGTCGTCTAATTATTGAGACTCGCCCGTAATGTCACGTTGCTTGGTATAAGCCACTTGCGTTACTTACGTTTTCAGTAAAAAAGATTATATTCACGGGAAACGATAAAACATAAAACCAACACTCTCGAAAAGTACCGTATGTCAAAATGGCGGACGTGGAAAGGATTCATACCTTATGCCACGTATAGGGCCCACAAAATTCTCCGATTGGCTAAGCCGGTCACGTGACCGAGGAAAAATCTTCGATGATATACCTACAGTACGCTAGGTGGCGATACAGTAAGAGAACACCGGTAAAGTCATCAAAAATTCCGAAAGTGTGTATAGGTGAATAAGCGTGCTCACGGTCGTATGTACAAGTCTGGCAACTATCGTGGTGGGGGCAATGCTATTAGTGAAAGCCAAATGTTTCTCGATTTGTCCGCTAGACAGTAAAACACAGTCAAGAGTTTGAATTGCTTATGTGTAATATAATGTAGACACGCGAGTGTATAGTAACTATGCTAAGTATACCATATATGTATATCAGCGGGTGTATAAATATATATATATATACACACTGTTTTCTATAACTTCTAGATCGTAGCGCTCTATGACTAGTGGCTGATTTATGAAGCACACATTATGATGTTAAGAGCCTTATCTCCACTGTGGGAATTGCTACCTGTGTATACGACTTTGGACGACGTGGACGTGCTCTAACACTGTTGATGGAAAGGTCCACACTCATGAGAGCGAAAATCCCCTTTTTCTCTTCTTAATTACCAATTCTAATAATGTAATTATGTCTTATCAATGATCCAAGATCATGTAATGCGAAGTTATACGGTAGTATAACCTATTACGTATGTACATTATATATATTTATTTCTCTATGAAAGAATTTAATTTATTTTGTGCTAATTAAATCATGGTGTCATGTGAATATGAAAAGTAAATGATCAGAAGTAATAAATAGTAGGTTATGTGCAAGAATATCAATTTTTGAGTGCTAGTATGTTTTCAGTTTATATATTCCAATTTATGTAATAATCGGAATTATGTTATCGATATGAATGTTTATCTTCTCTTTTACGCATTTATCATTTATTAGAATACTATTAACGTAACTACTAATAACGCTCTGTTTTACTTTAACTCTCTTTCGTAAACTGTTTTTTATTTTGTTAATGAATCATAATTTTTAAGTAGATTTGTAATTGTTTATTCTTTTATACACCGGGAGTATGATATTTTTCATCTAATGTTCCTTCTCCGTAAAGTTGGCATTCTTCTGTATTGTATGGGATATCTGTTAGTATTTCTAATGTTTCGAATAGTTTCCCTGGTTTTCTGTAAATATCGTAATTATTGTACAGTGACCAGTATGGTTAGTGATAGAATATTTATGATTAAATTATATTACTTTGGTTGGAAAGCAACCGTGATTGTGAAATAACAGCCTTGGTAGTTATATTGACTTGACAATGTTCCATGCCTTTTATCAATCATAAATTCTTTGGTTTTGGACTTTTTATTTATTCTATAATTTACACTGCATACTAATGAAAATCAATCAATAAGACTTAGTTAATGTATAATGTTAAAATAATGCTAATGTATGTAAATACTAAAGAAGATAACAATTATGGCTATACTTGATAAATTTCTGATAGTTAATGATAGTTTCTTTGCATCACCTATGTAAACAAGACCAAAATCTAATGTGTATGATGATAATTTTAACACTGGTAACCATATTTGCAAAATTAATTCCAAGTTCTAAAATCACATAAATTTAAGGATTTATTATGTTCATTCAAGTAGAACAAAAAAGAAAAATGATTAATACTTGATATCGTTTATCAGAATGTATAATGTGTAATGGTTCCCTTATTGTGATTTTTGGATCATGGAAATCTTGATCTGAACTTGTATTCATTATAGTTTGAATTAATTTCTCTTCTACAATACATGCAATTTTTACCTATAAAAAGAATGTTACTCAAAATTTGTATTTCTGCCAAAGGAAAAGATAAATTACTTCAATATATCCATTTGGATTTATGCATATAATTCCAGACTTAGATAGATCTGCTTCTCCATAAATTGATGTGGATTTGATATAAAATGGTTCATATGTTTCTAAAGTTATCTCTATTAGCTTGTTTTTAGTGTTGTACAAAAATAATGTTTTAGTTAGTCTAAGAAAAATAGATTAGGTGAAGAAATATTCTATTCTTTGAATAAGAATTTTATATTTTGCAATTTTACATACTCTAATCTTTTCCTTCGACTTCGTATTACTTTACTGGCACAACATATAAACGTTCTATCAAATTTAGAAATATTAAAATCCAATGTAGATTTAGTAATATTTGCAGTAACATCAATTTCTACAGGAGAAAAATAATTGCCACTCTGTCTAGCATAATAGTTATCTCTGTACCTATTATTATTATATAGTGTCATATAATTCACTGTAGATATTTTACATTGATTTGTATCATAAGTCAGTTATACAAACATATCATTTGGAGCAACTCGTAGAAATCCAAGAATTTTGCAAAAAAATTCTCCTTCGATACTTTCATTTGTTTCCATCATAGTTTTGTATCTTTCAAGTTGTATATCAATAATTAGGGAGGTATTACTTTTGGGTAGGATGAACATTTCTCTAGGGGTAACCTTGTAAGATACCAAAATGTTTTCTTTATTATTGATATGTACAATATGTTTTTCTTAATATTTCAATAAGATTTAAATGTTTTTTTACCGTGCACATTCTTGTATCAATTAAACCATAGTAAGGAAGTATCGAAATTTGTATTTCAATGTCTTTCTTCTCTACTATATTATTTGCATCGAAGCATATCTCATCTTTTGTATATTTATTTTCACTTTTTGAACATTTATTGGAGCTACTGGTGGTATACTGTTTGGAAATTTCATCATTACACATCCAGGATGAGATCATGTGTGAGGATTCCCTAAGATAATTCAGAAAATGTACTTGTATATTTTTGATGACTATTACATTGCTATTGAGAATATTTACATGTAACTAGATGTTGTAATATCACTAGTGTTGCTGAATTCACTAGAATCACATGTATGTAAGACTTTTGAGTATGGATAGTGTTTTTCTAGGTGTATTTCACTATTAGTCTTCTGCTTATTATTTCTCAATTTTGATGCCAATTCGTCAGTAAATGGTGTATGAAAGCTAAATGCTACGTTAAAAGGCATTGATTCTAGAACTGGCTTGACTACAAATGTATGCCAGTCAATAATTATAGGTACCGCGCTTGTATTTGTCAATGATATTTTTCTCCCATGTAGGCGACTACCTACAGCTACCATTCCATATCTACAAATATATTTTCTAAAATACTGAATTTGAATTTTTTAAAATAGAAAAATGTTGGATATACCTAATAATAGGTATATTAGATTCATTTCTATCAGAAATTGACAATGATATTGGTGATCCAACAACTTGTACACATATCCCTATAGTATACTGTGGTAAACCAGCAATATTTATTTCTAATTCATCCACATAATAACCCCATGTATCAGCAAAAACATAAATGTCCACAGGCATGGCTTTGAAAGGACCAATATCTGAATTTAAGGGATCAACATAGACTACCATACCTGATCCAGGTTGTTTTACTTTGCACAATGTGTCTTCTGTAAATAGAAGAGATTATTCCAAAAATAATATATTTAGAATTTCATAATTTTACGAGTAAACAATATCCTACCTATTAATTCCTTCCGCCGACTAAAAACTCGTTTATAAATGAACCTGATCCGATCTTCTTGCGACTTCCATTTACACGAACACATGATGGGATAAAAGTTCTTTATACGAAGCCAATAATTAGTTGGAATCGAAGTCTCGTTTTTTATTATAAAAGTTTTCTTCTGCACTGAAGGTTCGAATTATTCGTTTCTTTGTAAATATAAATATTTATTTTTTCATTTAGAGGAGTATATTTCCTTTCAAAATTTTAATCAAGATACCTGTTCTTAACGATAAATCTGGAAATTCTATTACAACAGGCTGTGTAACCAGTGGTAAGAATTTTTCGTGGAATGGTACAATGCTTCCAGAGGAAACCAAATAATTGTCATTTTCTGTTATGTTGCTCATCTATAGACATTAAGTCAAACATATATATTATACAATTACGATAGTAATATTTATGGTTTGATAAAAATGCAAAAACTTCTCACTACCTGAATGATTTCTGAAGTACGAGTACTTAGGAAGGGCTGTTCGCCTGATTCGTCAACTGCCACTTCTTGCATAGAAGGACCTGCTGAAGCATCTTTAAGAACCTCTCCTTGATCCAGATTCGTGTTCATTAATTCTCGTTCCTCTCGCTTTTTGTACTTGTCTAATAATTTCTGCGAAGTTGTACATTAAGATTGACAGTCCATTTGAATTACGCGCTAAAATTCCAAAATATTAGTATAATATTTTACATCATTATTACCAGAAAATAATTTATACAATTTTCGTTCTTTTATGGATAGGATACAATAATAACGGATCGCTTTTCTAATTTGCAGAAAATTAAAAATTTGAAATTTTTATCTAAAAAATTCTAAGCGTTTGATTGAAAAATTAAAAATGAAAATTTAAAAGTATGAAATTTTAGATTAAATAACTTAAGGTTTAAAAAAATAAACCTTTGTATTCGGCATGTCTGAGCATATTTTTCATTTCTTTGTTTTTTCGTACTGTGAAACTTCAAGGAAACATATTTTTAAAAAATTTAGAGCTTGTGTAATTTTATACTATATAATCACCAGTGATCTATCTCTTTGTCTCCTTAGAGTGGACATCCAAGTTGTTTGCCAGATTTGCGATATCTTCTCAGAAAGGATAGCCGAGCACAAAGTCTTAATAAATTAAAAAAAATGTTTATTTGTGATCTTCAAAATTATTAATTAAATGTACCATGTGCTGTCTAGATTTTCCCGCCATATCCAAAGCAAGTTTGAGACTATCTGCCCGCCACTTTACTTTAACAAAATTATTCATTAACAATGGCGTATCGTCGTTTAATGGAAAATAAAATATGACATAAAGTGATTCGATGAAACATTCGATGCCCAGCATTATCATCTTCCGCGAATCTCCCACAAAACATGGTATAAATAACGATTGCACGATCCCCTAGAAATTATAAAAATAAATAGTAAACCAAATATTTTCCCAAAATCAAATTTTTGAAAAATTAAACAAATATTTAACCTCTGAAAGTGGTGTGATAGTTATTTCAATTTTTTTAGTGCCTCTAGCTAATACTTCTCCTTTTTCAGGACACACGCAAAGTTTCATCTTTGACGAATCTAAACCACTAACTTCACCCCACGAATAATTCAATGAGTCATCAGCGAGATTCTTTAATATAAAAATGTAAGTTTCCTCGACGCCGATGTATAGAGTCCTGTCACGCGTAATAATCTTAATAAGAAATATAAAGCTTTTTGAGTAACATAAATTATCTTAAAATTACAAGCCTTGCGGGTCTAATGATACCCATGCTTATTATATGCTCTTGCCACAGTAGGTCGAATTGGTTTAGGTTTACTAAATCGTGGTGATAAAATAACTCATCTGCTCCCTACAATGTAGTAAATTTCTATAATTTTGTAAACACAATAAAGATGACAACAGAAATGAAAAATTAACGAAAGCCTTACTAACTGACACGTTGATGTTCCTTCTTCAAATTCTTCTTCTAATATTTCCCCTATTATTTCTTCTTTGTCTTCTTCTTCTTCTTCGTAATCCGATCGAGGATATTTGATATCTGATGGCACATCCAACATATGTTTCAATATTTCTTCTGTTGTTCGATCACTGATCAATTAAAATGCAATTTTAAATAGATACTGGATTTTCTTAATTGTAAATAATATTCCTTTGTTTATGTTCAAATAAATAATGGAAGAATGGTGATTATAGACTTCCTCACTCCCATGGGAGAAGTAGGAATTAATAATTAATGTAAACAAATTGCTTGCAATATAATAAATGATAATACGAGGCTAATAGACACATGAGAGCTTCAAATCTCTAAATGTAAATTCAACATTAAAATCGACGCACGTTTTATCCTCCTCATCCATCATGTATTGCAACCAGACTTCGACATCGGCGATCCAAATGTCTACAGACTGACAATGAGTATTCTTTTAAAAAAATGTTTCTATTCTAATTGACAAGTTAGTAAAGAGAATAAAATGATTTTACAGCTGGACATTTTCGTCGTTTTGTGGTGCATTCTTTGGTTTGTAGATCCGTATTTTTTGGTATTGCATCAACTGGTATATCTTCTACGTATAATCTAATAGAATTCGATGAATGTGAAATGCATTAATTTTCACAGTAACAACTCAAAATTAATATTATTGTTCGTAACGATACTTTTTTAGCCGTAAACTCACTGTAGAACGGCAAAATAATAATTTGGCTGTAAATCTTTATACTCAGCCGTTACAGTAAAATAGTGCACGGAAGTTGGAGCGAAAACTCCTTGGTCTGGATTAATGTGAAGCAGTTCTAAGGGAAAATAATTCTTTGTATGTATTCTGTGCATGTCAGTTTGCACGTTTCGTTTCATCCAAGAAAAATGCATGCTGATCTCACTATTTAAAAATAATCATAGTGTATTTATTCAATTAACAGTTACCAAACTAAAATTGTTTTATTATTAAATTTATGGTAACAAATATATGATATACCTAATATTGCTTACAGCAATGATGCATTGCCCGATACCGTCAGGGGTATTGGTGCTCAGGTTTATGTAGTAATTCGCTCGATTATCAATATTTCTTTCCAATGGTGTTAATTTCATTAAATGCTGCAATTTTACTTATTTTAATTGTCACCTTTCATATTTGAATTAATCCTATTTTGCACCGAGTTTATAGTATAAATACTTTACTAAGCTGGATGAAATTCGACTCATATATTAATCCATCGCCGATTATCTCTGTTTCCAGCAAGGTACAATTATCGCATAATATGTATAATTTTTCCACCTGACAAAAATGATAATAAAAGGTCAGAAGTGGATAAGCAAGTCGAGGAAAATTAATTAATTAAATATATTTTTATATGAATAGGGTAATGAATTATTTTCCATTTACATGAATTCCATAGCACTCTGGTGAGAAGTACATACGAAAATCTAGTTCTTCTTTTGTATTCAGTGCAAAATACGCAGGCCACACGGTAAAACAGGATAATTTTAAACTATTTTTGTCTGTGATATCCTAAAATAAAAAAATATACAATGGGAATGGAGAAAAAGATATTAAACAAGATCTTTTTAGATAAGAAGATATTTAAGAAGAATTTTTTTTTTAACGAAACGGATAGAAATAGGAAGTGGTTTTACTATAATGTTCATAGAGAACCAGTCTGCCTCGCTCATTATGAAAAACCGGCCCTCTCCGCCGACATTCTTGAATTTTATAAGTACATAAGCTTCTTCTCCTACAAAGGCTTTCTTACAGTCGAAAGTCATGCTTACAAAATTATCGTCTTCCGTCATCCAGGTAGATAAAGTTTCAGAGCTATTTAATGTAAAAGACTAAAAAATCAAAGTCATGATGACGTGTAAAACCATTGCAACTCCCTTATCGTTATTTGAGCTAAAGATTTCTTGTCTCTAATATCAAGGTCAATGTAATATCGTTCAAGCTCTATCAATTCACTCTATCATAAATAAAAAAAAGAATGGAAAGATAAATAATTCTAACAAGTTACCCAAATGTTATTATTGAAATAATAAAATAATTAAAATATCTTTATCTGTGATTCAATAAATGATACTCAAAAGAATGACTTTGACGCTTGATCCACAAGAAGAAGTCAGACGTCAGCTATAATCAGGTATTCTTATCGTTGCTAAGAATTAGAATATCGTACTTCTAAACTATCGAATGACATTGCTATCTCTGGATGCCAAGCTTGATTCGACAGTTCCTTGTATGTGTCCGAATATGTGAACGATATTTCTTCCGTCAGGCAAGTTCCTACATAGAGAAAATACTTCAAAAGAGCAATTTATATCTCTTCAGTCCATTTTACCTTGCATTTATACTTTATTTATTTATTATTCTTCTACATCTAAGCAAATCAGGTTAACCCTTATGTCCATATCCGGGTGCCCACCTGAATACATTTTCTGAGTTTGAACCTTTTAAAGGCGAAATATCTATCCCATATCTTTCTTTTCGTTCTCAAGTCAACAAAATCTCGAAGATGATATCCCGCTGGGGATAGCCATCCACATGTTATTTAACAATCAAGTTAGAAAAATTTACCAAATGTCCAGCTGGACAAATTGTAAAGTACAAATTAAATGACAAAAAAAAAAAAAAAATTATAAGGTTAAGATTTCAGATCCGTGATAAAATCAGTTTATTATACGACGTGAGTTTATAATTCTGTGTTGAACAACGTTATGCATCTCGGCTATTGATATAAGGTTTAAATTGAAGGGTTTGTAACAATAAGGGGCAGTATGAAATATAATATCATGTCCAAAAGTGCAACAGTATATTGCTACAGGTATTAGTTGATCATGAATCTATAGCACATTCGAAAGAGTAATTTGATTTCGAGTTTTGGTCTACACAAATTACTGTCTATTCAATTATAAAGTGAAGTTACCTTCTTATTGTAGCATTTCCTTAAACTATATTCTTCATATCTATTCTATCATTATTTTGTAGTAATTTTTATACCCAACAAAATAGGAGGGTCTTTGTATCCGTGCAACCGGATAATCACGGAACTTCCATGTTGAACGTTTAACACCAATACTTCTTCTGGTGTATCAATATCGTCGCAACGAAACAGAATGATCAATCGCAGCTGCATTCCCGGCGGAACGATGCCTCTGTTCTCTACCACAGGCTGCACTATAACGCGGAACTTGGAACGATACGGTCTCCCTTCTATTTGAAATCTTGCTGGGATATTGCTGACATTTTGCAGTATAATTATTTTCTGCCATATAATAAAGTCGGTTACAAAATGTATTTCTCACTCTCGCTTTAGTTTCAGTCGAAAAAAAACGTTTAAGAAAGAAAGTTATTTGGCGTAAAGTTCATATGCATGCAAACATATCTTTTGGGTGGATTTAAAAAAAAATTTGCTTTACCCACTGAATATTATTTCTGCGTATTAAATTTTATATTAAATTTTAAATATTCGTATCAATGCATAAAAATCATTAACCTATTAACAATAATTCTTCTGTATTTGTGTCACATTTAAGAAACGTTCTAATATAAAAAAATAAAGTTTGATCGCAGCAAAATTAACCCTTCAAGAGTACAACTCAAGAGAGATCCTTAAAATTCACCAAATATAGTATTATAATTCATACTATAATCAAACATAATATTTAAAATTTTACATCCTCATACACGACATGACATAATTATTAATATTTATTTCCTATAAAAAATTGAAAATATCAGATATCAGACATATAGGAAATCTTCAGGACAATGGGACGATTATTTTCGAAAAAAGATATTCTAAATTCTTTTTCATTTCGTTGCACTGCCGAAGGATTAAATGGGAATTAGTCGAGACGAACCTTATACATCTTTCTCAATTTAAAATTACGAAATTGCACGTAATTCGTGTTGGCCACTAATATACTCTTTTGGGTATCAGATCTTAGTATACTTCTTTTCACTCGAGTGCTTAAATCTGATCGTAGCTTGGAGTAAGACCTGGTTCGGAAGATTTAATACGAAGATTATGAAATTCGACGTTTTTAACTGTTATTTAATAAATATACTTATTGACATAAAATTTTGGTAACGACGTCACGTGTATCAATGATTGCTTAAGTTTTGATTTTGGTCTTTGTCTTGATAATTCTAACAGTTTTCTGTATTCGTTCCAAATCTTCACTTTTGGTGGATCTATTGCTAACTCACTAGCATGTATGTCTAAAAAAGTTGTTGATGATTTTTTATATGTTAAATAACAACTTTATTAAGTATCCTACCTAAATCTGTTTCACATTCTTCAAAATCAACATCTTTAGATTTCAACTCGTCATATTTTGATTTTGAGTCTTCCTGAACGTTACATTTCAGCAGTTTAATGTCAGCTGGGCAAGCATTTTGTAACCTATTTTTGTAGGTCTGTAAAAATCACGGATATTTGACTATTTTGGTTTCTCTGTCAGTCAAAAATATGAAGATACTGACACAGAGTAGATAGGTCGATTTTTGTTGCAAAACTACGTTTTTTTGAGTAGTATTAATAAAACCATATGACATTTTCCAATTATCATTTCTGTATTGTACCATACTTTCAAGTCTTCTTTGGTCAGATTGAGTATATGTTTTGCTATCATTATCTTCTATCTGGGTAAGACTCATTTTATGAAAAAGATTTGAAAAGAATCAATCTTTAATTACGATTAACAAATGAAATCGCAAATGAATACATTGCATGCTTAGTTATTTAAATCTTTTTTGTGAGTGTTAAATAAAATTTGAACAAATATATACATGGTGGTTAAGGAATAAATAATTAGAACACAGTAACGATTATGATGAAAAATAAGTAAGTAGATTAATTTTGACACTATGATTTATTTGGAAACAATTTTTTATATAAAGGTTTAGAGAATGAAGTTCTATGTACAAAAGGAGTATGTTAGTAAAATACTAGGATTTTATATTCCTGGCCGTACATCGTGCAAAATAGTTTCTTCTTATACCGAAATATAATTAAAAATCGTTCTCGTTACGTGCAGTTCTTCCTCTTTTCATTTTATTGCGAGAGCAGACTGCTTACAATTAAACGCTTGAATCTAGTTTAACCCTATTATAATTAATTATTATTTACGTCGACGAAAAAACGTCTCATTTCATTTGACATAGTCGCAATACAATCACAATAAGGTACACTTATTTATATTTATCGTAAATTGTATTTCGTAAATACAAAGAATTCGTGTATCTTCCTTGCTTTCTAAACTCATATACATACACATACATATGTATAATTATTTCCACACGCATAAACATTATATGCACGTATTTTTCATTGTTTTCCCTTCTCTGTTACATATATGACATTATAGATTACGCTTTGTACAGTCTATTAAATAAACAAGCGAGAGAGATCTCACAGATTCTCAACGTTGCTTATTTCTATAATACGTTCAACGAGACCTCCACCATCGTTCACACAAGTATTAATTCTTCGTCTTAAGATATAAAAAATTGGTACACTTTCGTTCTTGTTGTCAAAAGCATAATAGCGCAGGAAGCGATTAGCGTGTTTCGAAAAGCATCGTAGTTATTCAACAAATATCTTGGGCATTAATTGTACATGTGTAATTATGTATCGAGCAACCTGAAAAGGAATGGGAGCTTGATAATAATGAGACGCGCATGATATTGCATTAAACAACACTGTATTTTTCTGTCCTCTTTTCATCTTCTTTCTTTTGTTTTAAAAGCCTTATAGATTTAAAAATTATGTGTTTATTTCCTTTTATAAGAGTGCACTTATTTTAATCTATTAAGAGTAAGCATACACAGTCCTTAACGCAAAAAAAGGAAAGAAATGAATTTTTGCGCTCGCGTAAATAATTTACCATGCACGAATTTAAATATTATTACGAATATTCGTGTTAGAATAGGATGATTTTAGAAATCAAAGAGTATTAAATTATAATTTATATGGATCTTGTGGTAAAGAAAGGTATATGTATTAGCACAGAGTCAAACTAGGTTCAAGTTTTATATAAAAAATCATCGCGATAGAAATAATCGAAATATTCGATTCTTTTCTCTCGCTTTTCTTTTTCAACAATATATTTACATTCTGAAATGTCGATTTGTCCTTTGATAATTACCAATAAATTCCTCGTGATTTTTCTCTAAAACCTGACCAAATATATCGTGCTATATAAGCTTGGACTTTGTATGCGGGGGAATAAAGGTCTTTATTAAAAGCCTATTATTGTGTGGAAAATATAAAACCCCAGATTATACTTCACTATCCTACAAATACAATGCTTAGTTCAAACGTGTAATGGATTTTCCTCAAAGATGCAATATATTTGTTTTTCTTTTGTGTTTACTCTCTCTCGCTCTCTCTCTCTCTCTCTCTCTCTCTCTCTCTCGCTCTCTCTTCACATTTATAAATTAAACGAATAAAAATTAAGATTCCAGCGGATTTGGGACACTGAAATATGAATTTCTAAAACATAATTATTTATCCATTAATCTATTATTCTAGATTTCTGTGTAATTACGATTCTGTTATTATTTTTCCCTTTTCTTCTTTTTACAATATACCAGCTATATGTGTTTTGTGTTCTTTTTCTTTTACATTGTATCTGTTTTCAGCTGGAAAAATTGTGGATAATTTCATTGCAATTGTACGAAGTAAATCTTCTTACATATATACAACCCACGATCATCCCTTAAGCGTACAACTTCCATTGTAAATTCTATAGTTCGATGCATAATCGTTTATACATTCCACATGATATTAATGTTAAGTGTTTCTTCACTTGCCGAGTCCGAGCGCAGCATACTGTTCTTCCGTCACCTCTGTCATCATTAGATTTCCGTCAGGTAAGAGTAATACTACTCTTCTTGTTCCACCTAACATAATAATGCAATTAAATTTTAGTAATATGTCCCTTTACTTTAGTTTTCACTAAAGTTTAAGTTTAAGTTTGAAACGAATGTTTAAATTCGGTACATTACCTGGAGTAGGTTCTTCCGCTTGTACGACTTGAGCTACAACTTGGCCATGACCATCACCATCTTCTTGTCCCTCCGTCACATCCGCCGTATTCGTGTTGTCCATGATAGACATTACCATTGGATTTTCAGTAGGTTCTGTACCACCTTCCTTTACATAGAACTGCGAAGCCAGATTTACTTGATCAGGTATTAATTGAGCTACAGCTTCCGCCACAGCGTGATCTAACGTTAAAACAGAGCCTTCGTCTCCTTGTTGCTCTGTGGTAACATATACACATTGTTGCTCGCCATCAGCATCTCGAGTTACCAATAATGTCTGGCCATCCTCAGCTTGACCAGCCACTTGATAAACAACACCATCCTCTCCAGTTATTGTTACCAAGTTTGATGTGTCTTCGGTTACCTTCCTCTCTTCCGATATTTTTTCTTCAGTTTTTACATCGGTAGACGCGATTGCTATTGTGTTAGTCGAGGTAACAGTGGCTGTAGTTAATCCCGCTGCAATAGAGGATTCACTGGTTGGTGTCGCTTCTGTTAACGGTGTTGTCGTGGTTGTGGCTGGTGTGGCCACGGCAGGAGCTGTATCATCCAAACAAGGAAGATCCGGTGCAGGAACAGATACATTCGTCAAATTGATTTGCGCTGGCTCGCTGGTCTGAACGATCGTTCCTGTCGTTCCACCGGGACTCATTTCGACTCTCATTATTCCACCACCCTCTGTAAGAGAATCAAGAGAAGGTAGAACCAATTCTGTGGTGGTGGTTGTAGCGGAGACGTCTATACTCTCTGATGTAGTTGTAGCGGCTTTAATGGTAGACAACGGAGTTCCCGTAGATTCAAGTTCAGGTTCTGGTTCAGCCGGTTGTTCGACGGGTTCACCATCCGGTCCAATGATACGGCCCGTCAATGGACAAAGAGTAAACGGCCTAGGTGGACTATCAGGCTCCGTAGTGGCAATGGTATCGGCTTCAGGAGGTGGAAGCTCCGGTTCAACATCGCTGCTACTCTCTTCAGAGCCTACCTCGTGGAACTCCATATGAAGTCCATCACCTTCCGCCAATTTACTTTCTTTCAGTTTGTTCCCCGGAGTGGCCGTCGCTGGTGTTTCAGCCAATTTCCCTCTGCCTCGACCGGCGGTAACACGAGCAGCTGCTAGGAGGCCGCGGCCACCTGGTTTAATGATACCCGCTGCTTCTTGAGCTTTCCTTTTTGCCATTAATAACTTTTGCTGCGGAGATAATAATGACTGTGGCTTACCAACTGGTGTTTTCGGAGACTGTTTAGCCTGTTGCACTGGACTAGTTCCAGACTTTACCACTTGCTTCGGCTGTGGGCTAAGCACCGTAAACTTTGGTCTAACTTGAGTGACATTTCCAGGACTCACCGAGTTACTTTGCGTAGTTACAGCCGTCGTACGTTTTTGTAGTACCTGGCGTGTTTGCTGAGACTGAATTTGTTTCGGGGCTGGCGCCCTAACAGGTGTGCGAATTGTTGACCCGATTCCAAGTACGCTAGTTGGTGTCGTCGCACGCAGTGGAGGTCTGGGTAACAAAGGTCGACCGTCCGCACTGCGTTGGCCTGTAACAGGTCCAGGACGTATTCCTGTACTTATTCTTGGCTGCAAAGTTATGGGAGCCGGCACCGCGGTCACGACATGTATCTGCGGTAACTGTGTCGGATCTGGTTTCGGCTGGATCTTTATAGGCTCTGTTTTCTGTATACCTCCTGCTTTACTCGTAACAGGCTTAGAAACTACTTTCATCTGAGTTACTACTTGACCTCCATCCATTTTAGAAACCACTTTTACCGGTGTTACAGAATTCGATTGCGATGCGGATATTACTTGCTTCCTTACTACGTTAGTATTATCTCGATTTTGAACCATCAAAACACCTTGTGTGGTTGGCGAACCTTTTACAGCCAATTTTCCGCTAGGGGACGAGTCCAACTTAATGATGCCATCTTTCCGTGACATTACGTAAACGCCGGATGTTAAATTTGGCATTTGCTTCGGGTCAACTTTAACGACTCCTTTGGCATTCGCAACTAAGACTGGTGGTTGGTTAGATTTTGCTCCTTCGGGAGATTGAAGTCCCAATGAAGTCGCAAGATCTGTAGACGAACCACTTGCTCTGTTAGACCCGTTTGATTGAGCATTAGCACGATTAAATGCGCGCTGAATCATATCACTTCGACCCAACAATTTTTCCTCCTCAGACTCTCCAGTCCAGTCTTCGTCACTACCTGTGTCGCCTTTAGTTCGTTTGACAACGCTACTGCCACCATCCTCGGAATCACTCTCTGAATAATCCATCTTTCTTTTCCCTAATACTAAACAAATACAAAACAAATTAATATGTTTCTAACATTTGCAGTGTATATACAATATGAACTATATTATAAGATACACATACGGTCATTGTCTTCGTCCTTCATGGAACCGCACCACTGCTTCACTTGATCCATTGCTTTTGATTTACTTGATCGCATAGGTCGTCTACATACAGAAAATTTGTAATTTGAAGTGTTATTTTATAAATATAGAGAACACACTGAAAATTGTAAAAACTGTAGGCAAAAAATAATTGCCTTACCCTACTTGACCTGCAGTACTTGGTCCAGGTTTAGCTTCAGCTTTTATAATTGTT